GTGTGTGTGTGTGTGTGTGTGTGTGTGTGTGTGTGTGTGTGTGTGTGCGTGTGTGTGAGTCTGCACAACCAGCACACCGCATGCCAGGCAATCCCGGCATGGCCTCCTCGACACACTCAGGGAGTAGAAAACACATCCCCTGTAACAATCGATAGCCACCCCCAGGTCCCAGCCCCGTCTGCTGTCCAACGCGGCTCCTATCTTCAATCGCCGCACCACTATTAATTGTGTGCCCCAGCGTTTCCTGTTTAGAGCCCGGGTCCTGAGATTAAAGAGCAGCACAGCTACTGGAGTCCTTTGCTCACAGGAGGAGGGAGGAGGGGAGCACAGTGTGAGGACTGTTTGTCCAGAGGAATTTCCTCAGTGCCAGTTTACAAATACTACTCATTTCCATTTACAGGGCCACATGGGGCTAACCTCCACTCTTATCCGTGTCAATTCATTTGCACCGAATCAACATCTTTGTGATGCTTTTATTCTTTTTCTCCACAAACGAAAACAATTAAAGCCAACTGAGATGCATACAAAACAAAACAGTAGTTTGCAACACAGCAACGTCACGCTAAAATGTTTAGTTGATCACATTCTAGTAAAAATGTAGCAATTGATTAATAGTTGATGGCTCATTTATCAAGCAAAAGTACCAACAGCTGCTGCTTCCAGCATCTCAAATGGAACAATGTGCTGCTTTCTGTCTTATACAGGATGGTGAATTAAACATCTTTGGGGTTTGAAGGGTTGGGCAGCAGACACATCGGCACCTGATTGTGACTGATTGGCCTTGTCTTTATTTGCAAAATGTTTCTCAATATTGCAATGTGCTTCTCTGATTATAACTGCACATATGATGTGATCAATCAATCAATGTCACCTGCTGATCTGACTCAGATGTATCATAACTCCTTATCAGTTTAGGTACAAGATAAAAACTATCGTCTCACTTACTCAATAAACGGCCTTTGATGTAGCACCACTGCTTGCTTGTTTTCCCTGAAGCTTGAAGAATTAGTTTGACATTTTAAGAAATAAGTGCATTTCTTTTCTTGCCGAGAGTTGCATGAGGAGATTAATAAGCCCGCAGTGTGCTTTTGCACAGGCGGTTTTACTGCCTTTGTGCTACAAACCACACTGAATAACCCTCTCATGTCTGTACGATAGCGTTAGCGTAGCTCAGCATCGCATAGCTTGACAGTCTCACAGCTGGTTCCCAGAAATATTCTGGCACTTAACGCTTGGTTGTTGTAAGGGTTTGAACAATTAAGACACATTGTGTTAATTAGTGAGCTTCAGAGGTGCTGGTTGGTGGACTTTGTCACTATTCCTTTGGACTGAGCCAGGCTAACGATGTCCCCGTTTCCAGTATTTATGTTAAGCTAAGCTAACCATCTTCTTGCTCCAACTTCACACATACCGCACAGACATGAGAGTGATATCGTTCAAGTAACTCGAGTAAGCCTCACGTAGCCTCGCTGAGCAAATGAGCGTAAAAAGGGGCTTAGTATACTTCTGTAAATATTTTGTATACTTTGGATTGTATGACTTAAGTGACACCAGAATATGCAGAGTGATTCATCAACTTACATTTAGTATAGATGTGCTGTAAGCAAAGTACATATGTGCCATCAAGATGGGTTGAGGGACATTTGGGCATTGTTGTTTTTAACATTTGTCCCTCATCTTCTCGTGTCTCTCACAGTAGGACTCAAAGTGAGAGTATCTGTCTCTTTAGGGAAAACACATGCTGCCTCTACCTTACTTGCTCTCTCCCTCCCACACACACACAGACACACACACACACACACAGTGAAGTGAAAACAGCCACAAGAAGCATTCACTGTACGCACATAATCATGAATTCACACAGACTCATTTTACCTCTGCAAACATCCAGTGACTTACACTGCATGGATTAGCCCCCTCTTTGAAACTCGGCAAGTAGGGATTTCTTTTTAGGTGATCACTGGCCTAAGCAGTTGTTACACGCGGGATTAGCAGGTTCTGCCATTCAGACAACCTGGTCTGTTTAAACTGGCAGGGTGAAGAAAGCGGAGAGAGACGATAGGAAGGGAGAGGTTATGACAGGCGGTAACGGGGATGGAGTTGAGAATAAAGAGGAGAGAGACAGAGAAAGAGAAAAGGAGGTGTGAGAGACGTGAAATGAGGAACAGACGAGGAGGGAAGGGGAGCGAGATGCGGAGCAGGAGGGATGAGAGGTGAAAGGAGCGCAGCAGAATCGGGATGTGTGAAGAGAAGTGTGAAGGGAAGGAGAGGGGGAAAAGGCAAAGAGTCGAGAGAAGTCAGAGATGCATGGAAGGAGATGAGTGTAGAAGGAGGAGCGGTAAGGAAACTAGAGGAGATCAGATGAGAGGAGAAGCATACGTAAAGGTACCTGGTGCTGTGAGAATGGTACCTCTGCCAAGGAAGCAGTTTAGAAGGAGCTGACAATGACAATATTGTTTTGTGTCCTCCTCTGTTTTTCATCCTGTTTTTTGTTCCTTGTTTCACTTCTATAATATCCCCCCCCCCCCCCCCTGTCTCTCTGAGTGTGAAAGTGTGTCATCCAGCCACCTTTGTAATTGTGCCGGTACAAGTGTTTGCAGAAAAGGAAGGTTGATGGGCTGATAACAGGCCTGGCTTTAGGGGTGGAAAGATATTTCCATGCTGCCGCGTCCGGCTCACTATAGCATCTCTCTTGCTTCCCGTGTGCACATAACTCCCATTGCACTTAGCTCTTCCTCCCCCTTCTCCTTCCTCTTCTGTGTCTTGTAAATGGAGAAACACATCGGGGATCCCTGTTGTGAGCTCTACCTCTTCCTCGGCTGCCGTTTGTCGTTCCGTTCCACCCCTCTCACTCCCCCCCCCCCCCCCCCCCCCCCCCCC